ACCGGACACATTATTTCTGTCGTGTGTTGGCACGTCGGTTGTCTTTGCTTAGGACTGATGTTCACGTGATTGTGCTCGCCCACTAGTACTCAACTCACATTCGACAGACAGATTTTTCAAGCAACCTTAAAAAAGGCCAATAAGAAACGGGGTATCACGTCACATCTCATAACGGTTCGGATGAAGAATTAGTGGGAAAATGTATCAGATTGATTTAGTCATTTTGGTAACTACCTGACTGAATATAATTACTACGTTATTTCCAAATACTTAATGTGATCAATATGTAGTCTCATTTTACGTTTTATTTGCAAAAATCGAAGAAAATGTGTTTCATACACGTTTAAATCCAGACTGTGTGCCAGGCAAATCATGGCACAATAATCTTTATAAAGAAGAAAATTCCATGATTTTTTGTGGACGGAATACTGCCAGGTTGCCCAGGCCAAGGCCGATGAATTTTCTTGGGGAATCCACAACCGAAACCTTCAGCTAGCCGAAGCCTGACTCGTAAGGCATTAGGGTGGTGTGTGACAACCGTAATTCTTTGACGAAGGGGGGAGTCGGAGTCCACTTGATCGGATCATACACCCTTTGGACGGGGTTAAACGTGCAAGATGCCCAATAAACCTCTATGCGCAGTCGAGCCGGTGACCACTGCCACAACCAAGGTGTGGGTGAGTGTGGTTCGTACACCTCCTCTTGGTTGGTTTAGAAGCAGGGCTTTTTAACCAACTCTCCTAGGAAAACTGCCAGTGATTCACCGACCCGGTTACAGCCCCGCATATTGGCTTTATGCCCCCTAACTTAGGTGGAATGACAACTTCGACACAAGAAGGCAATGAGTAGAGCTACATCAGCAGAGGCTGACTGAGTCTCTTGGTCTTTTGGGTGCATTTCTTGAGGTGCAAGATAAAGGAGATCAGCCACAAATCGTGATACGGCTATACTGTGGTTTTCGGAGGTAGGTCGAAGAAAAGTCCGTATACATACTGCGATTCAAGTTAATTGCAAACACGTGAACATTTCAGGAATTCCTTTATTTTATTTGCCCCATCATCCGTTCCTACATAATTGTCAAAGGGTCCATCGTTTATTTCCTCTACACGGTGACTTCCTTTTTTGGGGGGTGGGGTGGGGTGGGTGAGGCGTGAAAGTGATTTTAATATGAGCGTCCTTAGATGCAGTGGAAAATAAATTCAGATAAAGCATGCGAACCAATGTTGCAAATTCTTTTTTTAGGTTATTTTTAGTATATGATGTTTTTTTCATTGAATAATTTTGATTTCTTTTACCACGATCATGATTATGTATTCAAATTTGCCAAACGACGGAAACTTGAATCCCAGTGATCCGGATTCAACAGATACCTACGCCCTACCAAATTTCCGTCTGTTGGTTAAAGGCCCTTCTTATCTATACACGTTGAAGTGCGACTTCTACGTCACCTCAAGTTCGGCCGAGCCTCTCAGTCCAGAATATTCCTAATTTTACCATCACATATACACGTATAAGACCTACTTTATGCCCTTTACAGAATATGAAATTAGTATGTCTATATCATTTTGAAACCCGTATTTGATGGTCTAAAAACCGATCAATTAAGAGCTTTCCTCCTATACAGGGGCATGATACGGTCCACTTTATGTAAGTCATCTCCAGATAAAACAAAAAAATACTTTCCATTTGAAGTGCTGTTTCCAAAATGACGCCTAATTGCTGTACTGTTCAACAGAAGGAATTTTTTGCACCTCCTTTATCAGATTCCATCAGATTTATCTCGTGCACCTTATCCACTTTGTTTTGGGGTGCGCAGTTAGGCATTTCATCAGGTTTCAGAACTCGGTTGCACACGTACCGCTCTCAAACCGAGAGCGGTTCCTTTTGACGAGTCATGACAGTGATTGACAGTGATTTTCGAAATTGAGCTGGAGCATTCGTTGTCCACTCGATGCTTGTTCGTTTCGGCTCATTTGTATGTCATTCATCATACCTCTTCGATGAATTACAATCTTATTGATCTTTGAAAATCCTGTGTCCATTTTTTCGGACCAGACTTTGTCTTAATTCAGGCTGGTGAAAGCATCTGCGTCGATTGCGGGCTGATCGTGTTTTGCTCTCTGTCCTCGTCAACCGCTGCCGCACTTCTTCCGGTTTAACGAATTCAGCACGTGTCTAGGATCAATGGACCTAACTACTGATCATTTATCTTTGCTGTCTTGCTTTTTGTTGCATTTGATGTTGTAGACGGCGGACTCCAGGCTGCCACTTGGACAGTGAAATATTGTGCGGGCACACGGTGGTGTAAAATAGTGAGGGAAGTATAATTCGTAGAAAATTATCGAAATAATAAATAAATGAAGTACAATGAAAATCTTTAAAGTTTGTCTTATTCGAATGATTTTTTGTATTCATCTTAGTCAATCGCTGCTTTATGACAAATCCATATCTTCGGTCGCTTGTCATAATGCGAATTCGCTCTCCTGTGAACAAATGAATATATCTATTTGTAATAGGAGGTAAAAATGATAACAAATATATCTCTAAATCTGTCCGTTGGTATTGATTTCTGCAGAATTTACCAACTAACGAAGCTTTGCTTTGATAGTCCTGTTTATTAGCAGCGCACAGAGGGAAACCTATTGGGTAAATGTATTCACCAGCAAACTGCCTCCCTGCTCACCCGTCCAAGAGAGACATAAGAAAAATATAGAATAGGCGCTTCAACTAAAAAAAACGTCCTTCCCGACAAAAAGGTTTCAAAGAACACATTATTATCCGGATAAATGTGGCGAAAAATTAGTGGGATTTGTAAAGAATCCACAACAACGATTTTTAGAAGCGAAGTTATTTATCATTGTTCCACATCGAGAAAATGTCGTGGGAGGAACATTGATTGACCTTCAGAATGCATTAGCACAACTGAAATATTTTTGTTGTGAAATAACAGCATAGATTACTGCACGGTTTAAAACTATGCTGATCACGTTGACCTCACGTGCGACTGAGTTGCATTTCAGATGTATCTTTAAAACACTCTATGGATGGATGGTTGAGTGGGTGGGTGGGTGGGAATCCCCGGATAAGAAAGAATGTCGCTCCAACGGATCGACACATATTGATCCGATAGTTTCAAATAACACGTTAAGGTTAGCGAAAGTAATGCCGACCAGGCGATAGTCAGCAATCACGGTTGCAGTATTTCGAACAAACCTCAAGTTACTTTGATCCATACACTTCATGCTAACCTGTCCGCTTGGCTGTATAATTTATTTGCCAACCACCCACTCGTAGCTCACCGAACAAATTGAGTGC